GCCAACCACCAAAGAACCGTTGATATTGGTGTCCAGGCCGACGCTGATGTCCCCCGCATATCCAGGTGTAGAGCCTTGCTGAGGACAGTCAAAAGACTTGTTGTAGAGATTGTCCGTGTGGGTGTAGTTGAATGGTTGCGGTGTAGTCGAACCGGTACAGTTCCAATTCGTGGGCCAATGAAAGCAGCTTGAGCTCTCGTCTGCAGAGGCTGTCCCCGTGAACCCGAGCGCATCGAATGAGACTTCTCCGTGCCTATGTACGGTCAGCATAGCGTAAATCAGCAGCAATGCTAATTGGGACGGGAGAAGCAAAAAGACCTCGTGTGATCTAAATCTGAGTAGTTCGTCGATAGCGTCATTCCCTTGACGACCCCAACGCTATCGCGATGGGCCATGAAGCGTCGGTTGTGCCTAGGAATACTCTGATCATCGTGGACCCACTCGTCCTTCACGAACGCAAACGCCATTGAGCCGCACTATAGGAGGAAACAGTCAGTACGTGGTAACATGGTGCGCGGACCGCCTTCTCCTCACCTCATCTGGAAGTCTAACGATCGTATGATGCGGCCCGTTTAGATACAGGTGATCGCATCCCTTGCTGGGATCGTGGCATACCAGTCGAATGTCTTGCGCCGCGGCCGACGGGTCGCAGTCGAGTATCGTCCAACCCGCGGAAGGAGTTAGGTCAGAGATACTCGAAACCGGGCCGCTCTGGAAGAATGAAGTCATGAGTCGGAGAGGTACTCAATGATCGATTCGAACGGGATGCAGCGGCTTACCAAGTCAAACCTGCCGTAGCCATAATCGTCCACATGCTCCCAACGACAATATCCTGTATGGCAGGGCTGGGTGGAATGATTCGTCGCCCAGGCGAAAGCAGAGAAGGTCGCGGCAACGAGGAGGACGGAGGCCATGGCCATCTACAAGGAGGGGGGGGACGACTTGCGGTTGGCATGTCCTCACAGTGCCATCTTATATACCCAGGAGTTCGTCAACAGCGTAGACGAGGGGAGGATTTGTGGACGCCAGCGTCGGGAAGAATAAAGAGTTTCTCAGCCACAGCGGAATATGCTGTGCGAGCGCGGATGCAGCAAACACGATGCCGAGGGGTAACAGAGTGACCTGTTCAGTCGATACAGCTTGTGAAGCATCCTCTTCCAGGAACAGACCGCTCGTGTGGTCCCGACTGTACTGCTCATCCACGTGGATTCGTGCGTCCTAGATCAGCAAAGTTCTCACGTAAACGCTGCTCCCGCAAGACTGCATTTTCTATCCAACGTACCCGCTCCTCGACTGTCCCCGCTAAGAACTTCATGTCAACACAGGCTTGAGTCGAGCCGGATTACCATCAGCAAGCTTTCCAATCGACGCCCAGCAAGCGGTGAGTGAGAGAAGCAACGGACCGAACTCACGATGTACCGCAACGCCCACAAACAGTGATGGCAACTACAGGCAGCTATGGTGGCATCGGGATGAGCGCAGATGTATGTCGCTCGAATGCGTATTGAAATCTAAAAACAGAGGCCTGCAGCTTGTGCGCCGAAGATGTGTCCGCGCTATGTACAAGGCCGCCCTGTCCGTGCCGGCGGTCTGTGCTGTGTTGGCGTGCTGTCTTCTGGTACCTCGACCTAGCATGGATGTCTGCAAATGCCTCAATAGAGTACGTCAGTATCATCACAAAAAAGGGGGGCTTCTAACTTCGCCTTGTGTATCGCCAACTGAACCCTTGTGCCGATTTTGTCGTTGTTGCGTGTGGACCCTGAGCTCTCCCGAAGGCTTCGGGTATGCTATGCTTTTAGATCTTACACGTCTCTGAATTTGTAGTGTCTCAGATAGAGCCGCAAGTAACAATAGTAATCAGAAGTTGTGAGGACTGGCATATCGATTGCATCGTGGTAGTAGGGACAAGTCAACAGTCGTGGGGAAGCTGGCGCTTGCGCAAATGCGGACCTTGAGCCGGGCGCTGAACTATAACACTGACAATGGACCACCACCTCGACTTGAGCTTCACTCAATCACTCGCTTTCGAGTAAGTTTCAACGACGGTAGCGAACATGGAAGCTCTCGGAACTTCCGCGCGAGGCTTTCTTGGTCAGTGCGAAGCTGTTCTGAATGAAGAACACCACCGTGACCACCCTGTCGAGTAAGTAGTTTATATGCCATGTTCATCAGCTCAGACGACTCACGTATATCAACAGCATCAATTCTGTTCGTGACCTATGCTTTTTGTTTCGCTGAGCACGTTGTCGCTGACTGAGATTCGTTGGTATTCGCCATGCATGTGTGCTGCAGGTGGCACACTATCGTGGCCCACGACCCTACTCTATGAACTGGCGTGGGCATTACTCGCCTGTTCGGACGCGTTGATAGACTTTATCAAAGAGATCGCCCGCTACCCCTATTGAGTTCGCATCGACTTCACGGTGTTCGAGGGCGTGCTGCGCCAGCATAAATATCCGCCAGCCTAATTATGGCGATTTCAACAAGCTGGTCGGTCTTCTGAGCGACGTACATACATCCCCCCTCCTTCCCTATGACACACCTCACCTCACCTGCATTGCTTGATGATCGGTCATGCCTCTCCAATTCGGCGCATACACTACTGTTGCATCTCGATTTCCAGACATCAAACCAAGGGGAGTCTCCCTTTCCTCCGGCAGGACTTGATGTCCTCCTCGATGTTCTGAGCAAAGGGCGTCATAATGAGCATCTCGGCCACTGCAGTCTTGTCCTCGATCTGGTTTAGCCAGGCCAAACGTTGGCGCTCTCGGATGGGATCGACGTACAACCACCCGGCGAACATCAGACGCTGTAGTCCGTTCGCGGTCCACAGCAGCAGCGGGATGCCCCTGCTGCGCGCGAACATCCTGAGAGGTATCGCGCCGAAGAACGGGAGTGCGAGCCACAAGCCGTATTTCTGCCACAAGTGTCGTAAGCACTGATACATGGATATCGTGTCGCCGGCAGCTATACACACCGTGTCGTCTGTCGCGTTGGCCATCTGGGTAATGCATACGTCCCAGTCTCGGAGGGATACCTTGGGAGATCCCCCGCAGAGACTGACGAGCACAAGTGCCCACTTGTTCCATAAGAGCTCGTTAGCCCAGCCATGGTTGTGCCACCATGCCATTCTCCCAAACAAGCCCCCGTCGTTGTAACGAACTGTCAATGCATTATCGCCATCCGAGCACACGTAGGTCAGTCGAGTATCAGTAGAGTCTGGATGGTAACACCGACCTTCTCGAATCTTTCGTAGAGTCTCCTTCGTCTCATTGTGTTCTGGTACCTCGACGTTGCCCAGGGCCTGCTTCAGATTCCCGAACAGTGTCGACATTCTAACCCGCCGCGCGACGAGCTCGATGGTCAGTTTCTCCGTGTCCGCTATGACCCCCTTCTCGTACTTCTTGCTGTCGATCGAGATGGCGACCATAGAGGCGAAGAACATGTAGAGCTCAAAGAGTTTCATGTTGCTCAGCGTGGGGAGTTTCCTGGGGCGATACTTCCGGTAGTACCGATGGATCCCGTACACAGCTAGACTGACTGGGAAAGTCTGCCATGGGGTCCACTGAGAGGAAATCAATATTGACTCATATCAGCCCTCATAGTAGTGACCGGTAGAACACTTGCGACGACATACGTCAATCTTGGTAAGGTCTGAGCTGTTGTCTAAGACCACAGGATCCGAGTTCGCTGCGCCACTGACAGTCTGAGCTAGATCGATTGGTATGTCCTGAGTGGCGGGGTGCGAGGGGTTCTCAAGCCCGGCTTGCTGCTCCCAGTGGCTAGCTGAGGGATCCATGTAACGATCTCTGAATATATCGTTGTTCAGAATGTAGGTGCTCGAGGCAAGGGGTTAACCATGAGGTAGAGGTGTGGAAGCGAACGGCCACCGGCCAGTCGGCCCGGATACTAGGCACACTTCAGGGCAGGGCTGAGGCTCAGCGCTCAGGACCGGTACACCTCCCGCCGTCCAAGTTCGGAATCTGTGTAGATGAAGCAAGAAAGACAAAGGGTATAATTTGAACGACCGAAAACCATGGGCACAGGTAAATACTTAGGTCAAAGTAATGCACGACGAAGCAAGCACGAGGGGGGAAAGCTATGAGGGGATTTATGGGAATAAATTGTGCAACATTTACGACAATCCAAAGTTTGTTGGCATTTCATGGCTCTTACCTCCTTTCAACACGAATGACCCAACATTGTCCGGTGTTGTCTATGCCAGATCCATTTTATCATCATTCACCATATCTTGTCTCTTTCCACACCTCTTTGACAGCTCTTGTCATGATTTGTTACTGCTTCTCGGAATTTGCTCAAGTTTATCCCACTTTGTCAGTAGCTACAGCTAGATAAGTCCTGATAAATTACAACAAAAATACGTGTAGACCATGATGTGCGTGAGTGTCTAATGTAACACTCAGAGTACTCACTCATCCCACTTTGTTCAGAGTTGTCCCAGATTGTCATAAATTGTTGTGCATTGTGGATAATTGTTATATCAAAGCAGCCCTTATAGGAGCATTTATCAACTTGTGCCCACTTTTATTCACTTTTATCCACTTTTATCCGCTCTTATGCACTTTTATCCGCTCTTATCTGGCTTTATCTGGCTTTATCTGGCTTTGTCTGGATTTAACGGCCTTTATCTATCAATAATGACTTTCGTAAATAATGGCAGACCACGGGTGATGTGTCCGAATGGTGTGAGTTTGTGACAATGCTGGATAAGAATGAACAACAGCAGACAAACCGGGTAAAGCTTAGGCAAGCATTGACAACGACAAGACTGTTTGCCTTGATGAGGAACATGTACATGTTGCGACAAAGCCCGACAAAGTAGGATATGCATTAACAAAGCTTGATAAGTGTTGGCAAGAGGAGATCATGAGCAACTAAACCAGGTCAACATGGCTGAAGTAACACAAGTGTTGCGTAACATCAACAAGGATGGACAGAGGGTAATACAAGCAGATGAATGCCAATGAAAGTGTGTAGGTGCTGGCTTCAACATGGTTTTAGGGTATTTTTTTCCTAAGAAACGCCTCATAGAAGCGTATGTATTTGTGCGTGAATATATGGCAGACATCAGCTTGGAGGACCAGGACGCGAAGAAAATAACGGTAATGTGTTAGTCGTGTTCTATGCGTAGTAGCCCAGCCGCATGGAGCGATGCGAACCTCCCCTGCGCATACGCTACGAGCTCTCCCCACGATCCACTGTCCACTCGGACCATTCCACCCATCAATACGACAACGGTCTTGAGCCGCGGCATGCGTGTGCAACTCGACAGCCCATCGAGTTCGAGCCGATCCAATCGTTTGGCAGTTGTAACATTTTGCCAAGCCAAGATACTGCTGAGCTCGAGCACGATTCTCTCCAGCGTTCTCGACACGAGCCTACTAAAAATCACCCCATGGAGGTTGTCGAAGTCCGTTGTCCATGGATGGTCAATGCGGAGGTAGAGCAGCTTGATGGCAGGAAGAGCGGCGATCGCAGCGGGCAATTGCTGTGTCCACTCATTGGAGCCATCCGATATGTGCCCTATCGTGCACGAACTGATGAGACCGGTATCGCGCACCGAAGTGACTAGTACTACTGGGATGCCACTCACCGATATGGGCGGGGTCGAACTCCAAAACAAAGGATATGTTTATGTCTAACTTCACCAGCTGCTGCCCGACAACTCCGAGGAACGTGCAGAATCGCTCTATGCGTTCGTTTAGGAATCGGATTGTGATCGAGATCTCCGTGAGTGTGACCGGGGATAGCACGCGTTCCAATACTGCGCACTGGTACGCCACTGGAGCGACATGGTCAAATCCGAGGATGAGCTTGCGGACGTTGACTGTGTCGACGGGTATGTCCTTGATAGGTACGATGTTCGACAACCTCCCATGGAGACAGAGGGTACCGATATCGAAGAGGGAAAGCAGAGCGTAGATTGCCCGGAACGGTATCGTATTAACCCCAGTGATTTTGAGTATGTCCAGACGCAGTAGAGGAATTGGTAGGGAGACTCGTTCTCTTTCTGCGTCCCTTGCAGGGTCGCCGCTGATCTGAAGGAGCTGCCCAGTCGAGAGTCGTCGAAGGCCTGGTAGTCTAGATATGATGGGTATAAGCGTCTTGGGGCTCAGCCAGAGAATATTTCCCCGACCAGAATGCCGCCTTTCTGCAAGCGTGAGATGCCTGACGTAGCTCGCAATACGCGGGTTGGCATCCAGGAAAACAACCAAGTCAGAGAACGACATCCTCCGTCTGACAACGAGTCGGGCGAACACGTGAGGGAGAGCGACGTCTCGCCACAGCTTGCAGACAGTGGCAGACGAGATGAGCGTTGGCGCGTCTTCCTGCAAGTGCGAGAATATGGTATGGAGTATATCGACGTTGACGCGGCCGTCGAAAGCCATGGCCGTGAAGTGCGGTGGCTGTAGCCCCCAAAGTTCAGTCAGACAAATGAGAATCGCGCTCGGGACGGCGTGATGATACACACATGGAATATTTTTGTGAACAGGACAGTGAACGGCTGGACGACGGAGTGACCACTGAAGTACTGAAGGGCGACGAGGAGAAGATGCGCCAACGTCGGACTTTGAAGGAAGTGCTTATCGAATCATTAATGATTGTTACTTACATGCTAAAGTGAGTTTAGGGCAGGGCCTGTACAATGCAGTGTCTTTGATCCTCAGACCGCGCTCTTCCCCGGGCCATCATGATCCTACATAGCCGTCTGCCCATGCCTTTCCTCCAGCAGCATGCTTATTCAATGGGTCGACGGATTTCTCTCTGCGAGTGGTATGTGTCATTACTTCGCGAGCTCACACGCTGGCGCTTTACCCTGCGGATAGAGTCATTTTGGCAGGTGTCTTTGAGTCTACGAACAGTCTCCGAACAGTCTCCGTCCAAACGTCACCGACCTCAACATCAGTCGCTACCTCGGACATGTTCCTGGATCACAATTGGACGTGGAAAACCAGCCCGTGAAAGCACCCACGTTGCTGCCAATGCTATGAAGATGTCCGACGGCCCTGTCCCGTATGGTCTGACACCGACGTTATGCTCCAGACCTCCAACGACCCGTAGGCGGAATGGATCCAGATGGTTCGTCTTTCAAGCAATAATTTAGACTAATATTCTCTTCTCTCGCAGCTAACCTACTCTATATAGCTCTACAGCTCAGCCAAGATTCTGAAACGAATGTGGCTCTCGGATTGCGTATATCTCCACCGCTGACGCTACGGAGACGTACATATCAACCAGCAATGTACTACAAACATGGACACCCGTCGTACAAGTACTTCGTCTGCCCAACCTGAAGTCGGTTCGGACTCTCCGTCTATTCCAGTAACCATATCTCCTCATCCCTTTATCCAGGTCCATATTTCGACACAATTCGGGCCGTCCGAGCCTATTGTCACTCCGCCTATTACGACGGTTGGGGAAAGCCACGGTCGTGGTCTTGTGGACGCCACAGAGAACCATGGTTCGGACCCCGATCCGGAGCTTATCCCGTCCATCGAGCCCTTTCGACGTGGACGTCGCACAGAACGGCCTGAGCTGGAGGACCTACATCGAACCGCTACTCACGCGCATTGACAAGAAGCTCTATGGATCCGACACGAATCTGCCTTCAGTAACGTTCGGCACCCTCGGCTACTTGAAGCTCGAGGGCTATAATGCTCGCGACTCGGCAGAGAACATGTGCGCGTTCGTCGATTATGTCGGAGCGCGTAGCTGGTCAGAACAGACTGTGGACGGGTCTCTGGGGACGCTGCAGATCGGTTCGCACTGGCCGTCCAAGCTCTCTCTGTCCATCTCGGTAAACCAGTCATCTATCCGTGAGGTGTCAATTTACTGACTGCCCTGTCTACATGTCTGGCTACTACTAGAAGACCTCCTCGCTGTGCTTTCATTCAAAGACTATACCTCGCCGACACCAAGCACCTTCCAGTATTGAGCTTTTGTCGAGGTGTTCGCCCACAGCCCAGCTTCAACTTCACAGCGGACGAAGACCTCGTCATCGAGCCGACGAAGAACATGATCGAACGCCTCAAATTCGACGGGAAGAAGACCGTGCAGGTGTTCATCCTCGACAGGGACTCGTGAGGGTCCTCATGGACTATCACACCACTACATTCTGAGTTATTTCCATGACACGACAACTGGGTGGTTCAAATCTACGTCCATGTCACCCACTGTCAGTTTCTTCAGGGCGGCGTCGAAATTCCAACCAGTCACTTTTCTGCCGTTGACCGAGACTTCCCCAGGCGCACGTCCTCCAACGCCGAGAACCGTGACATTGCTGAGCTGCTGAGAAATGTGGTAGGTGCCACTAGGGTGAAGAGAGACTGCGCCTGTTCGTGCAGTAATCGTGAGTGTCGTGTTGGGTGTAGGCGGTACGGTTTCCCCGTCATCGATGTACACCGTCCCAAACGCGTAGCCGTCTGCAGCTTGAGAGACCAAAAGCGCATAGGGACTCTGGCGGGTCTCCTCTATCGTGTACGCAGACTGCGCGTGCATGAGGATCGCCGAGCCATCACGGATATGGAGAGGGATGTGGCCGAGGGGTGCGTCCAGCGTGGTGTTGGCGGAGATAGCAGCATCGATGACCTCGTGCGTGTACCAGTCGCGCCAGATGACGCGGCCTTGTCCGGGGAAGATTCCTAGAAGAATGTCAGGAGGCCTTGTAAGTACAAAAGGATGTCCGTCCTCACCATCAACCGTGGAAACGTTGGGAGTGAGAACGGGAGTGACCAGGAGGTCCCGGCCGATGAGATACTGGCGATCAACGGCGAAGAGTTCTGGTTCATCAGGGAACTCGAAGAAGAGGGCTCGGATGGGCGGCGTTCCGTGCATCGACGCGTTCGCGAACAAGGTGTACTAGATGCGTACAAGCATGTGATAAATAAGAACATATGCTGGCGGAAACAAGGAATAAACTCACCCAGTATGGCAGAAGACTGTACCGGATGCTGATTGCAGTGCGCGAAGCAGTTGCCACGCTATCCCACCGGTACGGTTCCTGCGAGAGGGCACTCCGGACGTTGTGATTCCGGAAGAAGGGGAGGAACGCGGAGAGCTGCATCCACCGGTTGCACAGCTCCTCGTCCGTGTTGCCCTGGAATCCGCACGTATCCGCTCCGACGAAGGGGACCTGGAAGAGTTGGAACTGCAGCACGCCCTGGATGCTGAGGTACATGTAGCGCCATTTGCTGATATTGTCCCCGAGCCAGTGTCCAGTCCACTTGCCCGAGCTCGGGAAGGTCGAGCGGCTCATGATGAAGGGACGCTTGCCGGGGTGGATGTCAAGCAGCGCGAGGTGTGTCGCCTTCTCTTCCATGAGCCCCCACAGGTTGTGCACATCGAGCTCCACAAGGCCGTTCGCATGCGTCGCATTGGTGGCGACCGTGTGCGCAGACAAGAGGCCCTCACCTGTCATATGCACGAATCAGCGTTCCAACTTGTTACTTGATCTAAGCGAGACGGAGATGAAACTGACCATTGTGGATACCATATGGCGGCCCGTTCAGGTTGACACCAGACTCCGCCGCTTCTCCGAGACCGCGCTTCGTGTGTATGTCAACATGCTCCGCCTGAACGGAGTCATTCCCGAACGTTGACATGCCATTGATGGTGAGATTCCCGCTCGGTCCCCAGATGGTCGAGTTATAGCTTGCAAGCGGGCGTCAAATCGGCGCCCCGCCTAAGTGGAGTGAACGATGAGTATACTTACCCTTCAGGATAGTCCGTGACCAAGTTTCCCGGAGTGCCAGGGAAGAACTGATCAGGAATTGTCGCCGCTGTCAGGTTAGCACCAGTGCCGCTGATCCCTCCAGGTAAGCATCCTCGGGACCAGTAACTCATGCCGTCGATGATGAGTACTCACCATGAGCCGATGCAGAACGAAGAGGCCTCGTTCATGTCAAGCCATATGCCCGAGTAGTTGACGCCCAGATCCGACCAGTTGCGCAAAGCTTCCGCCCAGTATGCCTGAGTTTGGTTTGAAAACCAGTCCGGAAACACCTGTGGCCGGCAAGCAAGGTTAGCCTACGCTCGGAGTACCAGGTTGGTACGGACATACAGTATAGCCGGGCCACACCTGACCCAAGTACTCAGTGCCGTTAGGATTCTTGATGAACACGTCACTGATCGACACGCGTGAGCACGGCGTCCTCTCGTGACTTTCCAAAGGCTATCTCACAGGTCCGTGCCTCTGGTATATGGGTCGTACTGCGTGCACGGATGTCAGCATGACGACAAGTCCGAGTCGCCGCGAGTGCAGGGTCTTTTACGTACCACGTCGGAGTCATTGACAAGCTTCGCGATCGCGGCGTCGACAATTGGAATGTAGTGCTGGTGATTGGCCGTCTGAAATTCGCTTAGCGCAAGGAACACAGGCTGCCCTGCGAGGACTTCTCACCAACTCAGCAATGAACGCACGGACTTCGTCCGCCGGGAAGCTAACAGGGTCCGTGGTGAAGTCGCGAAGAGCGTGGTACAGGTCAATGTCGTTCCACATGACCTCCAAGGGAATGTTCGCCTCGCGCATCTTCACCACCTGCTCTCGCGTATCGTTAACGTCGCTATAACCCCACCGGCATAGCTG